CGAGGCGCGGGCGTGGGCGTCGCGCCCGCCCCTGCCGGTGCGCTCGGTGCGGAGCGACGGCTGGGGTTGGCACGTCCCGTAGCCATGACCATGCTGCGCGCGTCGAGCGAGGGACCCGAGCCCGACGCGCCGGCGGCCACGGTGCCCGTGCACACCTTGGCGTTGCTGTTTTCGACGCCCGGGCACCCGAGCGCACCCGCCTCCCACGTCCACACCACCTGCGGTCCCTTGTCCGTCTGGTCTCCGTCGGCGGCCTTGGCCGGCGTCGCGGCTGCGGGTGCAGCAGCTCCCGGAGCAGCCGCGGCGGCGGCGGCGGGCTTGTCGTCCTGGGCCGCGCGGATGCCGATCCAGACGCCGTTGGGGCCGACGTACATGTCGTCGTCGCCGATGCTGACGTGGCCGTTGCCGACGTGCAGATCATCGACGTCGACGCCGTTGGGGCCGATGCTGATGCCGCCATCCTGCAACACGGCCGCGTTGTCGTCGCCCGCGCCCGCGCCGTCGTCATCGCCGTCACCCACGGCTGCACCAGCCGGGGGCTGGCCTGACTGCCCCGCAGCCTGCGCCACGGCATCGGCGTTGCCCAGCCCGGCCGTATTGAACCCCGGGTCGGCCGTAATGGGGCGCGAGAGGTCGGCAAATTCAAACGGATCGTGGAAGTCCCGTCCGACGACCGAGGCACCTCGCGGTGTTGCCTGAACGGCTTGGACCGCGCATAGGATCGCTAGCGATGCGGCCGCGGCGACGGTGGCCGTGCGCCGCAGTCGTCGTTGGCTGCTTGACATGGTGAGGGGGCTGGCTGGTAGATGGTGGTGCCGAGGGCAGGCACGGTCGTGGAAGGAGGGGGCAGGGTTGTCAGTGCATGGACAAGCGCACGACGGTCAAGCTGACTCGGTGTGCGGGCGTCGAGATCACTCCGGCCCTGATTGTGACTACTCACAGCGCGGGGAAGGGGAAATAGGGCCGTACAGCTCGCGGCGCGGGGAAGAGGCGCAAAGGCGGTGGCGGGGGCGGAGGCGGGTAGCGGCGACGCGATGCGAGACAGGTGTCGGCGCGAAGGATGCAGCTGTCGAAAAGAGGATTTGCGGGCGGCGTGGGGAACAGACGGTCTCGTCGTCTGGCTCAAAGACTCCCCCCGTACTGATTCACCGCAGTGCAGGCGTCGGGCCAGTGAGATGAGGGCTTCGCGGGTGGCTTAGCTTGGCTTGCCAGAGGACCTGCTCTGGAAAGGTTCCGGTATCTATAGAATGTCGGCGGCGACTGAAAGCCGATCCCGTCACTCCACCTTGCGGTACGGTACCGGTAGCGAGGTCCTGTCGATATCCTCGTGGCGCTCAGCGTCGATCCTGCCTCTTCAGTGTGTCGACTGTGGTCCGATCAACGGTAAAGGGGCAGTCTTCTCGTTGTCGTCGACGCGGCGGTCCTCTCAGAGGTATCCACTGCGTAAAATCGAGGCGGGTGTCCGAGATCAATGTCGATGTCGGCGAGCCGTGTAACTCGACTGTCGGCGCTGATTCGAATGTCAAGGCTTGCAAAAGGTGGTCCGGATCAGGTCAAGAGGTTCGGATCGAGAAGGGATAGGAACGAGAAGCCAGTCTCGCGCGAATACGATCTCTGTCGAAGAGAAGAAGGGGATGAAAGGTTGGGAGACAAACGGCGGTCGAGATAGTGAAACGGAAAGGGGTGGTGGTGGACGAAGAAGAAGAAGGATAGGTGAGAGAAGGGAGACAAGGGATGGGGGATGAAGGTGTCTTTGGTTTTGCTTCGACGACCTGGGAGGGGAGGGGGACGATGGACGAAAGCAGAAGGTGAACCACGCTCAACTGTCCGTCCTGACGGCCGCGAGGGGAGGGAAGGGGGGAGCGTCATGGTTGAGCGAGACGTCTACCGCCGGCGTCGTGCACATGGTAGGTCAGCTGCGATGTGCGACGTCCGTTCCGCAGGCGGGGAGGAAGGCAGTGATGCGGCGCAGCGTGGTTGGGGATGGAGCAAGTCACCCGCTTCCTTGGGCCCGGTCGATGGTGCCGGCCTCCCTGCTTGTGGCGTGCACAAAGGCCATCCGCGTCATACTGCGATGGCATCGTTCGACAGCACCAGCAAAGAGGCACGGCAGGTAACGGGCTTAGGCAAGGACGGAGCGCTGGAGGCTCAGCCACGACGTGTAGATCCTCGACGAGCGAGCGCTTCATCGGCACAAAAGTTGAGGGGCATCGCGTCGAACGGTGGCCTGCCAACTGACCCGTCAGAGGGCTCTTCGGCCCAGCAGGCAGAGAAGATCGATGACTCTCACTATCTCGAGTACATCCAGTGATGACGATAACGGCAGCGACAGCGGCCGGGTGATATAGCATGGTGGATGCTGGACCGACTCGACTCGTCGTCGACATGGACGAGCGCATGGCTGGGCATCGCCCGCCGGCCGAAGGCGCGTCCCGTCAGATGCGGCAGCTCAAGGAAAATCGAGGCGGGGAGGTGCGTCCAGGGTGCCGCGCCCCTCCGGACTGGTGGGGGGGGGGGGCTCAATTTCGCTCGGATTTTCGCTGCAGCGTTTTTGTGCTCGAGCAGCATCGCTCTAGACTCGCCGCCTTCTCTTACCCCTGACAACCGCACGACGGTTGGGGAGTTGTTCATCGTATTGCACGCGCACGCATCGTCGCCTCTCTGTGCTCCTCCCTACAGGCAGCCATGGCTCAGGTCACGGATCATGCTGTCGCCGCTGATGGTGTTGGTGGTAGCCACGACAAACCGCCGGTTGCGCGTCTGCCGGCTCATGAAGCGCAGCGCCGCGATCTCGGTAAACGTGACACCGCCCAGGAAAAAGACGAGCGTCGTCGTCACCCCGTCACCGCTGGCACTGGCGCTACCGGCCGCAGGCAGCGCAGCGGCGGCCGAACCTGGGGCATGACCGTTGACCGACGCCGCCGCCGCCGCCGCTGCCGCCCCGGTCGACGACCTGCCGCCCTTGGCCGCCTCGGCAG